TTGATGCAAGTTATTTCTCTTTAAAAGCTTTACTTGGTTAGAAGTTATTACGAATCAAACCGGAGTACTTTTTTTTGGGACACCCGGTAGGTGAGAGAACTTGATAAGCCTTTCCCTATGACAAGTAAAATCGAATGGTGTTAGACACAATAAGCACATTAGAACTTAAAAAGGTTAATACTGTACATAATACTCTTTCAAAGTATTTGTTGACTCACTGAAAGTATTTTGAGTCCGGCATGCCAATCACCCAGCTGCATAATAATGCCTTCAAGGCGATCTTCTGGTGTGTATCCATTCATCACAAATTGGATGACATTTATTGCTCGTTCCACAGTAAGCTGATCCCCAGCAAAGAGTTGAGGGTCGAATTTGGTCTCATTGCCGATTGACTGTTTTGGCAAGTATGATTGCAATTGCTTTAGAATTTCAATCATTTCTTCATTTGTATTTTCATTCTTGAAAATAATTCCCAAAGGAGCCTATAAAATAAAGATATACAATTAACTCATGATCACAAAATTATATTAGTCTTGTGGTAATGATCATAGTTACATGTTACAGTGCCAACTTCCATCTTAGCCTGGCTGTGTCTATTTTTAGTTCATGTACCACAAATTTTATATTAGCTCCCCCCCCCCCTATTAAGCGACCTATATAATGTACCCCTTGACGATATAGGGGGCTTGATATTTTATTGCATTAAACGACTTTATGCATGGGTCGTTATAGTGGCTAAATTACCAAATAATTCCCACTCCCCCCCAGGTTGTCAAGGGGTGTACCCCCCAGACAAGCTGTTCATATGTCACGGTATTGTACTCTATAACATACAATTTGGTCATGTTTGAGTGGAAAAGGAGTAGTAAAATCATGCAATAACAAGTTAATACAAGCATGAATTATTGTGATTTATTATATAAAGTATAGGGCTTTATAGAGATTTCGAGCACTGATAAAAGTGATAATCTCACATCTGAGATTATTTATGATAATCTCACATGTGAAAATGATCGCTTTTCTGTAAAAATTATCGCTTTTCAAAGACTGTTCTTTATATAATAAACAGAAAAATACATAGTAATTACAAAACCACTTAACCAGACCTTGACAGATTTTTTTGCCATTTCTTTGCTATAACGATGTTGAATATGCAACACACACACTTGTTTAAGAAATTCAAAATGTTCGAAGTATTCTACTAGGAAACGTGAAACCAATATCACGAAGTCTAATCTTTGCTTCTTCTCATCTTCTGCACTCACAAGTAGATCAATATTCTCCAAGCTATCAATACTCTTGTTGCAGTGGGTTGGCAAATGACTTCCCGAAATTCTGTTCTCTACATAAAGATGATTAACCCAATGGCAATCCATATTTTGGGATGTCTTTGTCATTTGTCTACGTTCAATCCTGACGTCAACATTATCAAAAGGGATAGTATAACCTGGATGGACCGAAGAACCGTTTTCTTCTTGGAACGTGTCCTCCAAATTTCGTTTGGCAGTTTTCAACAGCTCGTCGTGGTTTTCTCCCAAGATGTCCATTTTTCGTAAGACTGTTTGATTGCAGCATGTGATTCTTAGCTTCGCACAAGTGTTAATCACCGTCTACAAATCACATATAATAGCCGTATAAATTGTAATGAAACATATAGTTGTGTGAACATGTTTGATAGTTGAAGGGGTTTCATTGATCTATCTATATTTTCAAGACTGCTGCAAAACAGAACTCGCATATACAAAAATATACATATTGTATGGTCATTGGATTGTATAAAATCATACAAACAAATGTATTGTAAAAAAGCAGGCAAATAGAATAATTGTGTATAAAATCAAGTATGTTTTTTCCAGGTGACTCACCTCTAACGATTTGGTTTTTATAGTTAGTCCTATTATGGAAGCTAGTGCATTCATATGCTTATTTCGCTGCTTTAGTAGAACTGATCCAGCTACACACAGCAAAAAATCATTTTCTTATTAAGAAAAAAATAAGCAGCCATTGCAGGAGACCACTCTAAATCTTTGGCAGTGCCTCTGGATTTCGAACAACACGCACGCAAAAACGAATGAAACATTGGAGCGCGTTCCGCCCATTCATCGCAAACTTTTTCCAGGCTAAACTCCAATAATTTCTCTTTCGTTGTTCCGCGTAATATTGACGGGTTTTTTACAGAACACAAATCGTCAATTTCTGTCTTGATAAGTTGTAACAAACGATCTGCGACCTTCTCTCGTAATTGTTTCGATTTGACAACGACATTAGCAATCCCTGTAGGATTTTGGTGCAAAATGGCTTTTACAATTTTGGCAAAGTCTCCTACAATGTTTTTATTTTTCACCTTTGAAGGATACTTTACAGAGATAGTAACCCTGCTCTCATCAGTTTTTTTGTTCACTGGCGCTTTCTTAGGCGTGGACATAAATATCGGGCACAAATCAATATTGCTCGTTAAGTCTTGTGACGCTTGTCCTGGTTGAACGGTGGCGGTGGGAATAAAAGGCTGTGTGACAATCAAAGTAACGTCTTTCTGTTCAATGCCACTTGCACTGTCCGAGTCCAGTAAGGGGTCATCTTGTTCATCAAATTTTAGAGACTTTCTTGTTATCTCTGTGACTTCGAAACTAGTGTCATGCAATCTTCGCTTTGGCTCGTTATTCTGTGTCAGTTCCCTTCCATTAAATAAATTTCGAAAGTACTTATTCAACTCACTTACGGACTTGTTGGCTTCGTCCAGACGCTTTAATTTATTTACGCAGTTACGACACAAGAATGAAGTCGGCCCACATTTGTCACTGTAAATGTCTAAGTCGATTTTCGCAGTTTCGCGAAGGATACCCACGAAATCGTGAGTTTTGCTTTTACCAAACAGTCTCGTACGTTTATTTTTATCTATTTCTTCACCCTTGCATGTGAAGCAACTATTTACAATACTTTTTTCCTTTGTTTCAGTGTTCATATTATATGTACATCACGCAGTTGTAATTTGTAATACAAACATAGTGTAAATTGCTACAATAGGAAATTGACAGCTTGCTGGGTTTTCCCGTATGACATTTGACATGTTGTGGGCGGGATAATTACATTGTTTACATAAAATTCTATTGGCTGTTCTAAACAATGGGAAGTCAAATGCATAGCGAATGTGAGCAGACGTTAGGTGAGGCCTCGGGCCACTAACAACGTCTGCGCAGGAGGCTACTCCCCCCTTAGAATTCGGAATCGAAGGAGTACAATCCGGAATTCTCTCTTATCATAGATACAATTTGCAGTTCCTCAAGAGTCTGATGTATTCAAGCATGTGCTTCTCCTCAACAACACTACCGACCTGCTGCTTCTTTCACCTCACTAGCGCCAGATGAAATGGCACCGTCTTTAAAAAAAAATTAGATTGGCTCTAGGCCTTGGGGCTAAATTATCAACAGGTTGTTGTTGTCCATCATTCAGCGTATAGTCGGAGTCTTGAACACGTTCATGTAGTGGCCAGGATTTCCTGGATCAGGATAATGTGCTGGAACCTAGTCACCCCTATATTCAAAGCAAACGAAAACAATGAATTTAAGAATTATAGGCCCATATCTGTTCTCACTAGTTTTTCTACATTGTTAGAAAAGCTTATGTATAAGAGATTAATTA